AAAAGCAGATCCCAAAACTTTGCTTCCATTTTTTCATTGTATAACCGATGTTTCAAAAAAACAGCCAGTTTGTTTCCCATGTATAGAGCAGGGGCGTTACAACCCGGATTCACATACGGCTCCAATAAAAGTGTCGGGGGATCGCTGACAAATACGGGGGGTGGTGGTTCGTTGTGTATTACCCCACCTGTACGATATCGGGGGCATTTTGAACCTACATTATATACGTAGTCAATAACTATCCATATAGTAATAAAATTATAGTAAATATGATTTTTAACATACTTACCGAAACGTATGGGGAGCTAAGATATTGAGAAAGTTTCAATTGCCTAACCAGACGACTTTCTTTCACAACAGGAGGTCCGGGTATATGATTTTTCGCATCCACAACCGTATGAGTTCCCTCGGTAGACTTGGAAGATTGGCTGTTTCCAGAGGATGGATCAGACGAAGATGCCCCCTACATAAATTATTTCATATATCAATAATAGTTGAAAATTTTTATTATACTAGATTCTGCTTTTACAAATTTACTTACATCATTTCTAAAGTTGTAGCGTACAGAAGAAGGGACTTTAGACGATTCACAATTCAGACTAGTAATATATGACAAATAATGTGGAGTAGAGGACTCGGCATCTGAGCAATCATCTTTTTTTTGGGTTGATGCGCCTCGTCCTGATCAACATCGAAAACATCACAAACTTTCGCCCAAGTTAACCTCCTAATATGAAACCAGCGCAATATACGAGGATATAAATAATTGCGTCGTATCGCAGCATTTCCCCGAATTACTAGGAACATCTCCCATATCCATATCTTGTAATAAATATACGCTAATTTATAAGTGTTAGCACTAACTAAAATTTTCAAAAAAATAAAAACCGATAAATTATTAAATATATTTTTTTAATTACTTAAATATACCTTCAAAGGAATAACAAAACCCGATAGTGTGTACACAATCGCTTTTGTTGGATGGTTGGACATATGATCCTCAAATTTCTTAAACATACCCGACAATCTAGGGTATGTTTTAGTCCATAGATAACTCCCCCACGAGAACCTATATTATAAGAAAAAAGTATTAGTTAAACGTATAAAAATTAGTATTTTATTATAAATATTAAATTGACAAATACCTATTTCATTGATCCAGGTTCTCCACTACCCACAAAAATTCCTTGGTGACTTTATCATTAAGCTCCTTTCCCAAAAAAAACCTTGATTGAGGACATATAGCAAAATGGCACGGACACCGTCGTGAGCCGATATGTCATTGAACCGTTAATTCAAGATAAGGAGCTCTAAATCTTCTACAAGTAAAGAAGTGTCTGTGCGATATGGGAAGACTATGGACTGAAATGTATTTTCACCATATCCGTGTTTATACATGGTTGAAATTTCGATCCTTGATGTAGGACACCGGCCCATGTAAAGTCCGGTCACAAGACAAAACTCCTCTGACCCAAATGACAGTGTACGTCTAGAAAACCTAAAATATAGACGCTCAGTTGCGTCCGTTTCAGCAGTAGGACGCAACATATGCAGTAACAACCCATGAATAAGAAGTCCGTCTCCGGACTGAGCTGGTAGGTCCAACAAGTAACCGAAGCTAGTTGTTGAAAAAAGATCGTGCACGGGTCCGTTCAAGCGACTCAAAACTTCATGCAATTTATGGCATGAAGCTTTGACAGATAAGTGGCCCATCATCGTTTTGTATGGAAGCTACAAAATTAAATAAACATTAAGGTTAAATAAAGTTTTATAAAAGAAAAAAAACTGATAAACAATTAGAGAAAGCACACAATATAAGACTTAATCATTTCATATATTCTATTTACTTTGTATAAAATACCAAAGAAAATTAATTGACTACATTTTTTTGTATTTTCTATACTACTAGTTTACCAAATTTAGCATTGTACTTTGAAAATGGTGTGACAATAACATATTTTATAACAAACCCGAAAGTACTAAAACACAATGTTATTTTATCAATACAGTATACTTCAAAGTATCTACACATTATAAACATAAAAAGTTTTTCAAATCGATAGTACATTGCTATTGTATGCTATAATTGAGACATAGAAAATAACATCATTTTTAACAACATGCAAACATTGAATCATAACATACATACAAGGGGATACAATCCTTAAAAATACGTTTAAACAATTTTTTTTTTTGAAGAAAAATGAAAAAAATATATATAAAACCATAGGTTTTAGGAAACCTACGATTTTTTTTTCCAACAAAAGTCAAAAGATACATACAAGGGGATACAAACTGTGCAGTAAATGCTTGTACACCGTAGGTTTCCAAATAACTTACGGTTTCTTTTTTTTTTTGTTTTATAAAAAAAAAATTATACGACTACAAAATACATCAAGTTCCGATCCTATTGAATCGATTTTAAAAAAAAAACAAAAAAAAAATATTTCGTACGGTTCATACGAAACCGTAGGTGTACAAGTCGACACTGCACAATCTGTGCATTGGGCACTTGTACACTGTAGGTTTCGTATGAAACCTACGGTTTTATATTTTTTTTCGATTTTTTTCAAAAAAAATTAACCTCATATACAAAACCTACTCCTAATCACCAACACGGTAAAATTTTGATGAAAAGTAGACAAATCTGGTTGTTCTTCGGGTGCTCCATTGAGAGAAAAAAATAGTCAAACCAAAGAAAACAATAGGAAAAAAGACCTAAATTGAAAAAAATTTCATTATATACTTTGGGCTAATGGGCCACAAAAAAGTAATTGGGCCCGTGAAACAGTAGTCCATTGCCACGAAATAGTACCTTTCGGCCTAAAACAGTAGTCAACGACGTTGACCGTAGTCAACCATTTGTGGGCTATTTTTAGCTAAGTGGTATTTTTTGGCTATTTTTTGATAAGTAATTAAGAAAAATGGCTAGATTTGTATATATATATATATATATATATATATATATATATATATATATATATATATATATATATATAGGTTTATGTTCATTTGAGACCATACTAATTTTGTGAGACCGTGAGACCAAATCTAAAAATAATTTTAAAATGCAAAATAAAAGGAAAAAATCCAAAAATTCTTTTTTTAATTATTATTTCCGGAACTTTAATTAACTAAAAAAAATTAAAAAAAAATAAAAATAAAAATAAATTACCATTTTTTTTTTGAAAAATACTTGAAATATTCTTATAGAATATTAGACTGTAAATATTCTAATCTGATTTTTAGAATGTTCGAATATTATACTAGATTTCTCGGATATGTAGAATATTCTATTATTCTACTAGAATATGTAAAAAAAGTATTATTTATTTATTTTTGGTATTTTTTTTATTTTTTTTTTGGAAAATATAAATTCCGAAAATAATATTTGAAAAAAAAATTTCGAAAATTTTCAATTATTTTGCATTTTAAAAATGTTTTTTGTTTTATCTACCAAATGAATGGCTGGGATTGCGTCTCACGGTCTCACAAAATTAGGTGGTCTCACATGAACCTAACCCTATATATATATATATATATATATATATATATATATATATATATATATATATATATATATATATATATATATATATATATATATATATATATAGATATATATATAATTCCATCGACATACCCTCGGTATAACTTTTGACACCTTGCATTTAAGTCAAAATAAATAAATAAATAAATAAATAATAATAATAATAATAATAATAATAATAATAATAATTCTTTTGACATATGTGTACGTATACAAAGTCAATTATTTTGAAATACATGCACCAACTGCTATCATATATAAACAATCGAAGAGAAATCTTCAGAAAAGTCCTAAAATTTTACCTTAATTTATGAAAAAGTCTCAAACTAAATTTTGTTTACGAAAAAGCATGAATTACCGGTAAAAATGACGATTTTACTCATTTTTTCCGGTTTACCGGTTTTATTACTTACCTGTTTCACTAAAGTCTCATTATGTTACCCTAATTTGCGAATAAGTCCCAAAAGAAAATTTAGTGATAATTTGGCCATTTTCTCTATGTAACATACATTTTACCGATTTCATTGTTGACCCGGACGCCTAGTCATCAGACATCAACTCATTTTCCGCCATTTTTTCTTGGAAACACACATTTTATTGGTTTCATTTCTGACGTAGATACATAGTAATAAATGAACCGATCAAATGAGTATCAAATTTTACAGTAAATGTGACACTATATAACCCATCGTATTCATCTTATCAGCTAATTTAATGAATATGTGTCTAAGTCAGCAATGAAACCGATAAAATATATGTTACATGAAGAAAAATTGTCAAATCATCAGTAAATTTTATTTTGGGACTTATTTGCAAATTAGGGTAAAATAATAGGACTTTAGTGAAACATGTAAGTAATAAAACCGGTAAACCGGGAAAATGGGTCAAATCGTCATTTTTACCGGTAATTCATGCTTTTTCGTAAACAAATTTTAGTTTGGGACCTTTCGTAAATTACGGTAAAATTTTAGAACTTTTCTGGAGATTTCCCACAATCGAATATTAAAATTTTACATAAAATTGTTATATTCCATGCAATTGTTTTATGAATTGCGTCAAACACAAGTTTAAGATCAACCCCACATATATAATGCATCATTGTATAAAAAATTAGCAAACTAAAAAGAACAAAAGGAAACGAGTAAACTATTGAGTATAATAGCTTTCATATGGCACAAGAAGATTTATAATCTAAACTTTTTATTAATTGCAGCAACCGTATACACAATTATATCTTACATATTGATACTAATTAATTATTAATCCTAAACAACACAACGTTGATCAGACTCCATATACTAAAAGGTTTAGCTAATACTTTAACACATCCCTTTAAGCTAAGCACGATCCATTCCAAGTTTACCCTTTAACAGATTGAAGGTCTCCGCTTGTAATGCCTTATTTGTCATATAAAAAAATTAGAAAACTAAGGAAACGAGCCAAAACGAGGTTAATAATGAAGCACGACAATATTATATTCAATAGTAGACGACGACTCATTACGAAAAGTGGCAATACCACGTGCTAGTCGGAAAACGCCAGTACCACCAACAACAGACATTTCACGAAACTGATTCCGGATAATGTTTGTACCAAATACCTGTAGAATGCTACCATTGAACTTCCCTTGTGTAAACACAAAGTTCATGTTCATAAGAAACCCCGGTTGTTCCAACGCTGCTGCGCCAGAAAACCCTTGGCCCTTACCAATCCTCGTGGACTGTGGGTCCGGCCCAACGGTCATAGGTTGGTCAAACATGAAGGTTAGACCAAATCCTGTGATGCTGGTTGAGGTGATGTTTGATTCGAAAACTTGATATGCGGTTTGAACTGGCCCGGATAGGGCGTCATGAAAATAAAAATGTAGGTTTGTGACCTTTTGTTTTTTGAGTGGGAGTTCTTCCTTGAACCATGTTTGCACTGCTTTTGGCCCTTCAGTAACGCTTTGAACCAATGGGAATGCTATCACAATTGTGCATAGCATCAACATCACATGCTCCTTCTTCATTTTATATCAGAAATCTTAACCCTAATCAATAAAGATTCAAAATTTTAGGGACTTGATTCTTTTTTTCTGAACAAGAGAAAGTGGGACAGTTAACCCTGGTCCCCGTGAAAGAAACTTGTTTTTTTATAGAAGCAAGTGGAGGGTAGAATTCATACTGTTGCATCACCATTGTTGAATTCTATTACTTTCTTAAAAGAGGCGTTGGATTTTGAATATTTACAGTTTTGTTTGTGGAATTGTGGGGAGTAGTATATTTTAGAATAGGTATTTTGTGGGCGAAAGGAATATATGTAAAGGAGGAGGTTTTAGGTAATATTTTAACTTTTTTCTATTCCATATCTATATTATAGCGGTGTATGGGTGCTTTGGGTGGGTTAATTAGTTGCCAAAACCAAATTAGTTGCCAAAACGTTTGGTTAATACATTTTATTAACCATTAGATTGCAGTTAATCTTGGTCTCAGTTAGCGTTTAATCCGTACCTCAGAAGCAACAGAAAAATGTTATCATTAAAAATTAAAATCTAAAACAGAAAAAATGCTCAGAAAAAAGCCTTCCGCTGTTCGGCTGCTCCTTGGATTTGATATTTGGCGGCTGGTTTGACTTTTGACTTCTGTCTTTCGTTAGCATAAAAAACTAAAAAAAGAAAGAAGCCCTTGTTTTGCTTTCGTATTTGGACTATGACTAATACGTAGTATAATATATTTGAAAGAGACTGTGGACCCACAAGAGGAGGCTTTTACGAAAACGTCCCGGCTGAAAAGTTATTTACCAGTATTTTAAATTTGTTTACAACTGAAATATAAATAAATAAATAAATAAACTGCCTGCAGCCGCCTACGTCAATTTTTTTGGCTCAAATGTCATATGTTTGTTCTACTCCATGTTAGTTTTGTATGTACCAATCTTTCTATATATATTCTTTTACTTCATACGTTTATAGGCTTTGTTATCTCATCCGTTATGATTTTATGAAAAAAAAATTCGGGATAAGACAAAATTGCAAAAATGGTCCCTGTGGTATGCATTTTTTTTGGATTTTAGTCCAAACCCCGATTTTTTTGGCTTCGTGGTCTTTTTGAGCTAGTTTTGTTGTGTTTTTTGTCACTCTGAATAGCGAAATGACTGTAATACCCTTGGAGTATTTATTTTTCATTTTTCTTTCATTTCTTCTTAAATCTAACACTAATTTATTTATTTTAATAATTAAAAAAATAAGAAGGGGCCCACCACCTCTCTCTCTCTCCCTCTCCCTCCCTCCCTCCCCCTCTCTCTCTCTCTCTCTCTCTCTCTCTCTCTCTAATCGATCAAGGTTCAGACTGCAACATTCACTCTTCCCTCTTTTGTTTATTGGAAACTCAGATGATGTTCTTCAAACCTCATACAATACTAAACACCAAAATTAGCCCAAATCTTGAACTTAATATTATAAGTCGATACTTACCAACCATTATCTCAAGCATAGAACCTGTTTCGTGTATGAAAGCTTTACAACAACACTTTGAATATTAAAAATTACACCCACACAGTCAATGGGCACAAGTTTATGATGTTTGTACTTTAGCCATTGTAATATATACAAGATAACCCAGATTCACATTTTTTCCCATTAGAATCTCTTTTAAAAAATTTGAAACCTAAATTTTCGAATTTTACCATCATAGTCTTAGAAGGAAATGGAATTGCCATAAGTACATTATTGATTGAAACATTGATTTATGGAACCTGAAACTCGATTTCCCCATCATCTTCATTATTAGCTCCTAACGAGACCATCATCAGCTACCAATTATCACTATTTTCGTCCCTTGTTCTCGCTTGTTTTGTGACCCCATCTGCATATCAGAGTAACGAGGAGGAATAAGGCATGTCATCATCTTTGTGATCTCTTTCTGGTGATAGAATCTCCCGTAACAGAAGTAGATCGAATGTGATGGGTTGTTTGCTGTCCATATATGAGAGAGTAGCGAAGTAGAGAGAAGGGTGGTTGCGAGAGAAGAAATCATCAGATTAGGGAGAGAGTGAGTACCATCTTCTTCCCCATCCCTTCTTGTTTTTCCTCCCCTGAATTCGAAAGTTCCTCAATCTTGAAGATGATTACTAGATTCATGTTGGTTTAGTGATTTTAGGTATTTGAGTTTGGGGAAGAAAGAGGGAGGGAAAGATGTATGGGTAAGAGAGATGATATCCACGTTTGTGTGTACGAGAGAGAGAGAGAGAGAGAGAGGCCCAAATTAATTAACTATTTTCTTTTTCCTTTAAATTAAAATGAAAAAACATAAAAAGTATATCAGAAAGGGCATTTTAGTCTTTTCAGTTTTTCGAGGGACCAAAATCACAAACAAACTAGCTCAAAAGGACCACGAAGCCAAAAAAGTCGGGGTTTGGACTAAAACCCCCAAAAAAATGCATACCACAGGGACCATTTTTACAATTTTGTCTCGGGATAATTACTTATATATTTTTTGATTTTTACACATTTGGCCACTGAGTATTTTTTTTCGTTTATATATTGCCCGTTCAACTTGTTTAACTGTATACATTCAGTTCTTATGACCGGTTACTCCAGGTAAGCCGAAAAAAAATGACTTAATAGAATAATATATTTCTTACTTTTTACAAATTTAATCCTCAATATTTTTTTTTTTGCATATTTTGTCATTAATATTTCTTTTTTTAAAAAAAATAAATAAGTCTTTGTTGTTTTTGTACGCATTCAATACCTATGAACGGTTTCTTTAGGTTTTTCTCACGACATCCTACGTGGGACAATCATTAATGAAGTGTTCGGGACTGTTCATATTTATAATCATTTATGCTTAAGCAACCTAGCAGCTTAGATTACTTCCGTTAAAAAGTAACATATTTTTTTCTTATGATTTTATAAAAATATCCTTCATACATATATTTATAAAGAACACATGTATATAAAGATCGTAAGTAAAAATATATTAATTTTTAAGGAGAGTAATCTAAACGAAAGTTGTATTATAGTCAAATGCGAACGCGTGGATATAAAGATCGTTAAAATCCAAAATCATATGAAAAAGTTATGACGTTCAGAACAAAACAAATACGAACATGTGAATATAAATATCTTTAAAATCTGAGATCGTATAAAGAAGTTACGACGTTCAGAATACAACAAATACGAACGTGTGAATATAAAGATTGTTAAAATCTAATATCGTATGAAGAAGTTATGACGTTCAGAACACAAGACCCAAGCAACCACACAAGACCAAAGCAACCAATCAGCTGAGGTTGCGGTGACCATAAGCATCAACAACCCCGGACACCTTATTAATGATTCTCCCATATAGGATGCCATGAGAAAACCTAAAAAAATCGGTCATAAGTATTGAATGTGTACAAAAACAACAAAGACTTATTTTGCAACAAAAATATTAATGGCTAAATGTCCGAAAAAAGTATTAAGGACTAAAGTGAGAAATATATTATTATATTAAATCATTTTTTTCGGTTTACCTGGAGTAGTCGGTCATAAAGACGGAATGTGTACAGGTAAACAAGTTGAAGTGGTAAATATAGACGAAAAAAATCTCCGTAACCAAATATATAAAAATCAAAAAATATATTACCCTATTAAGTCATTATCTTTTTTTCCCTATATTTTTTTTTTCTAGGATTTAAGTTTTGTAATCAACGGAGTATATTTTATGATTTAGAATTAAAATGAAAGAAAAAAAAAAAGTGCTAGACAATACTACAGTGGTATATATGGATAATAAATAATCAAAAAATAAATTAATTTAATTGGAATTTTTCGGTATACCGACCATAATCAAAAGACAATTCCTTCTAATGCACCTATTTCTTGTAGTGATTGCACATACTCGATTTTTAGTACTCAATTCATATCAACGATGTTTGATTATGCAATCTCTGTTTTATTTTTTATTTGGTATTGTTCTTTTATATCAGTTTTCAAACTTTTCTTATAAAGAATTTTTATTTTTAACGTGATGATCGTCACAATTATTGGTTTGCAAATGGTTAATTAGTCTAATTTACTATTATTATTATTATTATTATTATTATTATTATTATTATTTATGAAACATAGGTTTCCTAAATCATGTCAAATGGTATTGTTTTGAATTATAAATTTTCTAAAGAAAATAAAGAATTTTGAATGCAACCTTATTTCAATGATCAAATGACTTCTAATCCAGCAGTATCTGGTGTTACATTCCCTCATTGAGATTGATGGTTCAAGTCTCGTCGTAGATATATGTGGTTTTAAGGAGTAGTATGTTAGATTTGCCGTTTAAAAAAAAACCTAATTTCAATTTCAATGAATGTTGTTTTATATTAATATGAAGACTTTATATGGAATGCGATTTCAATATAGCGTATATAAAATACATATTTTTTAAATAATTTGTCCCATTTAAACTTTAAATGGTATGGATTTCAGTATCGTATATAAAATATATATATTTAAAATAATTTGTCAAGAAATGTATTTTATATTTTAAACCCATTTAAAAGTAGATGAGTATGTTTTGGTAATTAAACTTAACACCACAATGGATTTGTAATAATTTTCAAAATACAAAGGAATGACACAAAACTCCCCACGTGCATTTCCTTAAATAATTAAGTTCCTCCGAATGTGGGACTAGCCCAGTTGGTAGATGTAGAAGCCTCTTAGACAGAAGATTTTCGGTTCAAATCCGGACATAGGCGAATTTACTAACTTGGTGAATTTAACATCTAACAACTAACTAGTCGTTCAAAAAAAAATATAAACAACTTCCTATCTATATAATTAAAACAAAAATGAGGAAATAGAAAACTGAAACACGACGACTAGGGTGATTTGGCGATCACCTGATATTTGATCGTCGTTCATAATTCTGGCAGCCTGCTGGAAAGGGAGGATTCATTGTTGGTTGTATAGGGGTTGAAGGAGTATTACTCTCTCGACGGATTCTCAATATCAAAAAGATGACCCGTGGACGAAAGTGAAGAGAA